CCACCACCCGTCGTCGCGTCGGAGCCATCTCCGACCGCCAAAAAAGGTAAAAAATTCTCCTATTCACGTGAAATTTAATTCAGAACACCCCCACGGCCAAATCGGAGTAAAAAAAATAGCATATGAGACGGAAACCGCGAGTAAAGGCCAGTGGTGCCGCCGCAGATAAAATTCAAAATCGCATCCGATGAGTCCCTTCCTGTTTCTCGTTTTGTGCGATTTTTTCACCATTTTGTTCACCGTTTTATTTTCTACAGGTTGATTGAAGAAAAACACTCAGCTGCGAAGGTGATTCGGCGGAGTTGCTGCACCGAAAAATTTCATTGCCAGTAGATTTTTGTTTTTTAATTTTTTCTTGGCCAACCGAGATCCTTTATCGTATTTTTTTTATCGGGATGGATATAAAACCGGTCGAAACTGGCCAAAATTAACTGAAAATGGTCAAGCCGAGGCAAACCACCGTTGTGGGCAGCGGTGCTGTCGCCGGAGCACGGCGGAACAATTTCAAAAATGACTGAAAAAGATTTTTAACATCGAATTTGGATTTTTTTGGGTATTTTTAGGTACGTGAAGTATGTTTTAATCTCCACAAAAAATTTCATAAAACTCGAGAATCGTCAGTAGATGCAACTGAATGTTCGGTATTTCGAACACCGATTCAGATAATAATTCATCACCTTATTCCCTGTTATGAAATTGAAGTTTAATTTTCAATAATACGGTATTTTGCATAGTTTAGAAAATCTTGAGAATTAATTACATATTACTAATAGAGGCAGAACTGGTTATTTATTATTGTTTATCCTATTTAACTGATTGTTTGATTTTATACCTTTAAATGCATGATAATATACTGAAATTGGTAAAATAATTCAGTTGTGTTTCCTTGATGCATGTATTGTTTGTCTTGCGTTGATTTACGATTAAATTGTGATATTAAAAATTAAATGTAAATGAAAAATTGATTGGTTAATTGAATGAATGAATGGTAGTCTTATTAAATATCCTGAGAGATGTTTGGCAGATCGGGTACATAGGGAACCCTACCGTGAACGTTGTCTCATACTAGATGGGGTATCGAAGATTGATATTTTTGGCGATCATACTTAATAGGGTATGGAGACGGTCCATTTCATATTCATACCGGACGGGATATTGAGGGATGATATTCTTAGCGCTCATATAGGACGGAATATGGGAACGGCCGGTTAGTTAACAATGTTGAATAATGGTTCATATAAAGTGGAACATCCCTATAAGCCCCCAGGAATACTAGTATGCAAATAAATAAGAAAAGTTACTGTTTTTGCTTTTACTTGAATGTGAGATTATGATGTTGTTGAGCTATTGTCTCTATAGGTCGGTTTTGAAAATCTCGCAACGGTAAGTATACAATAAATTATTTTAGTCATAATAAATAAATTTACTTAAATTAAAATCTCAATTGGTTGTTTTTATTATTTTTACGAATCTTTAGTTTTTGTATCGTTGAGTAGTGTGATATTCTTAGTAAGGTAGTGCAGCTCACCCATTCATTAACTATTTTAAATCAAGAGGATCAAGATCCAGATCCCGATCAACAAGGGGGTTGTGAATAATTTACTACCCGGACTCTTTTAAAAGTTAGTGAAGGTCATTCTATGGTGTTCAGTTGTTTACTTTTCGTTTATTTTTTTTTTATTTTCGGTTGTTCTTTTAAAGATAATATTCTCGTAATTCCATTGAATATTTTAAACTATTGTGTAAGAAATGTAAACTTTAATTTTATTATTCTGCTTCCACATTCAATTTATAATTTTATTTTCTTTTAAGTTCGGGGACCTCTATAATAAATCAACCATAAAGTTTAAGCAAATAAGACAATAATAATTTACATAAAATGAGTTTTTTTTTTTTAAGAAAAAAAATATTATTTTGTAAAACAATTTCAAATATGAAATTTTAAATAAATAATTAAATAAATAATCCATTATCGTTTGGTTCATAGCTTAAATACTTGCATGCCAATGCCCACTAGGTGGAAGAATCAATATTTGGGTCACATACCATTCCCAGTTAGGATAAGATTTTATCAGTTGGACATATTTACAAAATATGAAGCCCACTTTTTGAAACCAGTAGCCTATCCTTTAAGGAATATTATTAATACGTCAAAGCTGTTTTCTGTTATAAATTAGAAATAATTATATTAGCTTATGGTGTTCTTTAAGAATAAATTATATATTGTACTATGCAAAAAATATAAATTTTTTTAAAAATAATATAAATACTATAGTATATGCATAAAATTTATAAAAAATAAAATAAAATGCTAATAAAAGATTAAAAAAAATATTTAGTAAAAAATCTACAAAATAAGTAAAATACAAGAAAAAAAATAGATGATTATAAACCTATATAAATATAATTTCAAAATTGTAATAAATTAAAAATTAATTATAATCACATTATATTTAAAATATTTAAATAAATTATTACTATCTATTAATATGTTAAATAGGTAGATAACTATTATTTATATTATCACAATAATTTTATTTTAATATATTTAAAATTAATTGTTATATATTCCAATATTATATATATATATATATATAATAAATAATCCTGTGTTAATTTCTGATTTTATAGATTATTATTAAATCATAAGTATATTTATGTTAACAAAAAAGGACAAACATGTATTGTCTCATTGTTAGTAATGGTGCAATTGTGGACAAATAAAAATCTGAATGAGCAAAAATAGTATTTCCAAAACCTAAGTGAATATAGAAAATATTATAGGTAATATCAGCATATATATATATTTTTAATTTAGAAAATGCAATGATTAATTATTAGACAAGACGAATATTATACTATATAATTATAACAATCTAAAATCTTAATTATAACCTTTATATCGAAAGCTTGCGTTGCACTTAAATATCTTTACAATTATATAAATACAAACAATATGTGTGTGTGTGTGTGTATATATATATATAACTAGTAAAAAATGCTTTTACTCATATAAAAGAAAATTGCTTGTGATCTCCATAATATTCATTTTTCCCACTTGGCTCTTACCATATAACTCTATAAGATCTATAATCATTCAAATATCTCGTACAATAAGCATAATACTCGGTATTTTCTGTAGTATCAAAGACTTAAATATATATATAATTAATATAGAATTTATTGTTTATTAAAAGAAATAAATGTCAAAATTTTCCATACACTGCGAAAATATTCAAACGGTCACAGACCAACCACTGAATTACACGTCATCAACTTTGGTCTCCTCCCAATGCTTGGCTCAGAGGATTCCTCCTACTTCCAACTCATCAGTATTACAAGGTGCCACCTCCACCGATATTATAACCCCTGCTAAAAAATTTTAAACTGAAATTCCTAAATAAACCTTCTCATATCTAAAGAACACCGCGAATATGTAAGGGCATTTTTGTCCAAACGTTTATTTGTTCCTTCTTACATTTCTCTCTTATATTCTTAATCTTTCGACAAGTCCGGCTATAGAGAAACAGAGGGACGTAGAAGCTCCCAACGGCACCGTTTTAAGCATCCAAGCCCATCTTCGGAGCTTCGATTTAATCTGAGTTCTTTTAGCTGGCCTCTCTCTCCATCTTCTCTGACGTGGTTTCCATCATTTAGGGTTCTCCAGTCGATTATTTGCAGCTCCCCGCCAAATTAATTTCGCAGGTTCGATTTTCATAGCTTTGCTTTCTTTTACATTAATATTCATGTTTTGGATAAGAGAAATGGAGGGTCAAACAGAAGATTAGAAATTATTCCATTTGTTTATGCGGCAATACCAAGAGATTTTGATTAACGAAGCTAATTGTATGTATGTTTTGTTTCCTGCGTCTGCTTGAAGTTTACATTTTTTTTTTTATTTCGATTACTCATTGTAATTCGCCTCAAATTCATCTATCTTTAGGTGAGTGTAATTGCTGATAGTTTACTTTTTGGGCTTTGATTTGTTCAGAGGAATGAGCTTTCTTATTGTCTACGCGGTCAATGGCATTTGTTCTTGTAAAAGGTTAAGATGTCGACCCGTTTTCTCTCAAAGGTAAAACCGGCTGTCTGTACTGGTCTTCAGAGAAGTGTAATTGGGCAAGGAGGTCTGGCGTGTAATTCTGTACGTTACGGAATTGGGCAGAGCAGTTTGCTGCTTGGTGGTTCCGGGTTGGTTTTCTCGTTGCCTTGTTCAACTAGGTTGTTCAATCATAGCACTCGGTTTCATTTGAGCTCCCCGTGCAGAAGAAGGGCAATGGCTGTTTCTGGTTCAAAAGCTATGTTTGGGGATGTCTATATTGACGACTTGGTTTCTAGCTGTGGGAATGGAGTGGACTTCACCAAATCTTCTGGTGTTTATTTTTCTGATAGAACTCGTATTAGTTGCCGCAAAGCTTGTATCAGTTTTAGGAAGCAAGAGCACTACAATGGCCATTTGGTCTGTGGGTACTTTATGCCTAAAGTCCAAGGCAATACAAGCTCTAACACGATTTTTGGACCGTTTCTGAAGAATGTTCATACCTTTTCTTCTGTCTGTTTCTCTGCTGGACCAGTTCATGATGTGTCTTGCGATGACAATTCTCAAGAGCAGGAGCTTGAAGATTCACCTATTTCATCCAGCCAGTATGTACTTTAATAATTTCCTAATTTGATAACTTTTACATTTCTCTTTTTGCTTTTCTGCTTGTTTTATAGTGTCTTATTCTTAATCCCTTGCAGCATTTCCATTTTCCTACAGGAAACTTAGAGAGTGTTTGGTTTAGCCTAAATTTTAGTCAGGGTTTGATCTTATTAGAGAGCTTATCAGCATCTTCAAGAACTTACAAAATTTGATTTGGGTTTGATAATTGATGAAGAGCTTATAAATTGGGTAGCTAAGAACAAAAAAAAAGTTTGTTGGGAAGATGGTGGAGGTTGGCTTTTCTATTTCAAAGAGCTTATATTCTATATAAAAAAGCTTTATTTCAAAAAAAAAAAAAATCTATAAATAATCCAGCATTTAATAAGGAAAAGTCTAAAATGTTCTTCAATGAAATAACAAACTCCAATTCTAAAAATCCTTAACAATCACAGACTTCACCAGTTGGCTCCTCCATCCTCTCCTCATCACCTCCTTTGCTGTTCCTTATAACCATTTGCTTCCTTTTATATTTTAATTCCAGAGTAAACGCTGTAGCACAGTCTAGTAGAAAAACATCTGCAACTATTCATGCATGGAGAAAATGCAAAAGCTTGGCACCATCCAATACAAGTGAACTAGAATATACTGATCAAAGACATGTCTTTACAAACCTTAACTTATCATACTGCCCTAGCAGAATTTTCCATAAGACTAGAAATGGTCCTTGGTAACACAAAAGAAAACATTCTCAATATCTTTTAATATAAAATGAAGAAAACAATAAGTAACTTAAAAAATAATAGTTGTTAGTGTAATTTATGTTTTAATTAATTCAAAAAGTATAAATACTTAAGTGTTTAGATAACATTGTATTCTATATATTTATTTATTAACCTTAATCAATTTTGCTTTCTGATTATTTTTATAGAATTGGCGATTTATAAATCATGATTTTACCAAACATGTAATAAACTCATTTGTTTTGTAAATAAAAAGTATAGCACATCAGAAGTTAGACACCTTCTAAATGACCTAAAAGATTTTACTTTTGATGCTTACATTTGCTCATGCTTATACCCTTTGTTAGCTTATGGAAATTTGATAGTTGGGTTAGCACTTAGGAAAATACCACTTTACTTTGGGAATTTCCTCTAACTACTGATTATATAACTATTCTTGCAAACAGACCCCTGAACCTACTGTCAGGCTCTTGTTACCTTCCTCATCCTGCCAAGGAGGATACTGGTGGAGAGGATGCTCATTTTATCTGTACAGACAAACAAGCCATTGGTGTAGCCGATGGGGTAGGTGGTTGGGCAGATGTTGGTGTTGATGCAGGGGAATTTTCCCGTGAACTCATGTCTAATTCATTATTGGCACTTGAAGAAGAGACAAAGGGTTCCATTAACCCATACAGAGTATTAGAGAAGGCACATGCAAAGACCAAAGCAAAAGGTTCCTCAACAGCCTGCATCATTGCTCTCACAGATGAGGTTTGTTTGCACTTCTTTTTAAATAGATTACAAGCATATCTACTGTTAGTTTATCGCATCCAAGTATCCCATCTAGTTCTATTTTTTCTTTCCCCGGCTGCTAAGTTAGAAAATTAACTAGTAATATATAGTTGAACTTGATGATTTACATTTGTGAATTCTTAGTAGAAAGATAATGAGAAGATTTGCAAATCTTGCCATTTAGTTCTATATATTTTACATAATTGATTTCTTTTAATAGGGACTGCATGCAATTAATCTGGGGGACAGTGGATTCATTGTAGTTAGAGATGGATGCACTATCTTCCACTCTCCAGTGCAACAGCATGGGTTCAATTTTACATACCAATTAGAAAGTGGTAATGGGGGTGATCTACCTAGTTCTGGTCAGGTCAGTTAATTTGCAAAAACTTTGCACACGTATAATTTACTAGAATAGTGGTATGATGCTGCTTTAACTTCCTGAATACTGTCTACATATTCAATGAGAGAAATCTTTGCTTGTTGTTGGCAATTTGAAGTTTCTGCCTCGGCTAGCAAATAAATTTGTTTGCTTGTGTTGGTCGTTGAAATTTATGTTCATTTACAAGAGCATCTGTTAGAACTTCCAAATATTCTCTCTGCACAAACTGAAACCTTTGATTTTGTGTGTCTCAGGTGTTTACGATTCCTGTTGCACCGGGTGATGTTGTCGTCGCTGGAACAGATGGGTTATTTGACAATTTGTACAACAATGAGGTTTCAGCTGTTGTTGTTGAAGCAATAAGAGCTGGTTTAACACCTCAAGCCACAGCTCAGAAGGTAGCAGCTTTGGCACGTCAGCGTGCGCTGGACAAGAACCGTCAGACACCATTTTCTTCTGCTGCTCAAGATGCTGGATACCGTTATTATGGTGGAAAGCTCGATGATATCACTGTTGTTATTTCATTTGTTGCTCGCTCCAATGACCTGTGAGTTTGTCATGCAAAATAGCCTTGTTGAAATGTCATAGTTGTCTGTAGTTCTTGTAGCTCTTTTTGTAGCTGGTAGTTGTGGGGAAACCATTAGTTTGAAATTTTGGCCATGAAACCTAGTCAAACGAGCTGTATTTCATGTTGCTAATAAATGTCTCCTTTTGTCTGCCAAGCAAACTGGGTATTTTCCCTTCTGATTCTAATTTTATCGTTGGCATAAGAAATGATTAAACAATAGATTGGATCCAACGGCTGAAGCTATGAGGCTCACAGCTAAGGAATTTGCGACAAGTAACTGTAGGCTTGTGAGGGATGGATCTCATATTGCTGGTTGTTCACGTTAAGTCTTTTTCAGCCTAAAGGAACCCATATGTTTAAATGCCCACATGGACCAGGTGGTGTCACCGTGTCAAATTTAGTTGGACATTTTGGTTTAGTTCTTGAAAGATAAGTTTTTACTTATCCAGATCAAACTCCGGAACCAGGGACCTATATCCATCCCTGATACCACTGAGCTAAAGCTGCTCGGGCTATAGTCCTTGTTATCTTATTTATTTATTTTTTATTTTTTTAAAGTATATATATATAATCCAACAACATACAAATCTAATCGATTCTTGAGATAAATAAGGCTCATCTAAATCCCTTCCTAAGGAACAGCGTACCACCCAAAAATCTCAAATAAAAACCTTCATATCATTAAATGATATATTTCATCCTTGATAAATAAATCCCACCGAAATCCCTTTTAAGGAAGACGGTGTATTCCCCAAAAGTCCCAAATAAGAACCTTCATATCATATTAGTTTGCCAATTGTCAAAACCTAGTACTTCCTGTTTAAGATTGACCACAAACGATTGCCTTCTCGCTAGTTATTCACCTGATAGCTCAACAAACCAGAAGAAAAAACACTAATTCTGGTGGTCTTCTAGCAGTGGAATGGTCAAAAGATAAACTACAAGATGAATTAAAACTACAAACAAGAAAATATTACAGCCAGAACATCAACTCAAAACTTAGGACTGTACACCAGATTGTTTATTCATAAAAGTACGTCTCAAACTGATTAAGGCAGCTTTATTCAAGACTACGAAAATCCAGGAAACGCTGCGAAGTTGGTAGTTAATCTAAACCATGCTCCTCACACCCCCCTTGCCATTTGCCATTTCGGCTTCTCTTTTCAGCTCTCCTCTCTGTTGTCCTGCTCCTTGTTGCCATCCTCCTCCTTGTCCCTCCTGCTCCTCTCTTTGTCTTGCCTGTTTTTCTCGATCTTCTTCTGTCTCCTTGCTCTTCTTGCTCTCTTGCTGCAGTTTCCTCTCTTCTTCTCTCTTCCTCTTGGTGCTGTCTCTCCATCTCTTGCCTAGCTTCTTCTTCTTGCCTGGCTTTGCCGTTCTCTTTCTTCTTGTTGTTGTCTCTTGGCCTCTTCTTGCTGCCTTGCTTCAGCTTCTTCTCGTCTTCTCTGCTCCTCTTGCTGCCTTTCTTCTTCCGGTTGTTGTCTCTCCCCTTGTCCTTCTGGTTGCCCTTCTTGTTCCTCCCTCTTTTGCCTTGCTTCTTCTTCTGCTTGTTCTCTTGCCCTTCGTTCTCTTTCTTCTTCCTGTGTCCTTGCCTCTTCTTGCTCTCTCTTTGCAGCCTCTTCTTGTCTTCTCTGCTCTTCTTGTTGCCTCTGTTGTTCTTGTTGCTGTCTCTCCATTTCTTCTTCTTCTCTTCTCTGTTCTTCTTCCCTTCTTTTAGCTTCCTCTGCTTCTCTCCTCTGTTCTTCTTCCCTTCGTTTAGCTTCCTCTTCTTCTCTCCTCTGTTCTTCTTCCCTTCTCCTGGCTTCCTCTTCTTCTCTTCTCCGTTCTTCTTCCCTCCTCCTGGCTTCCTCTTCTTCTCTTCTCCTTTCCTCCTCTCTCCTAGCTGCCTCCTCTTCCTCCTCCTTTCTCCTCTCTTCTTCCTCTCTTCTTCTTTGTTCTTCCTCTCTTCTTCTTTCTTCCTCTTCCTTCCTCTTCCTAGCTTCCTCCTCCTGCCTTCTTCTCTCAATCTCTTCCCTCTCCTTCATCCATTCTTCCTCAGCGCAAGAAGTGCAATCTAGTATTAGTGACTCCTCTTGCGGAGACAAAATCTGTTCGATCGTCGCGTTACTGACATTAAAAGACACTGCCAGGATCTGCGTGTCCAAAGTTTGCAAGAATGACCTTTTCCCTGCCAGAAACTGCGGATAATTTCTCCTTGTCGTAGTGCTGAAACCCATGAAAATAAAGGATCCATTGTTGAAAGACATCTGAGCCATGGGATGGAATCTGGGAACTATTAAAACATCACCTTCGTTGGCCTCAAATCTCATGTTTTGGCACTCGGATTTGTTTGCACTGCTAGGACAGACCACCGAAATCATTCCTCGTCCTTGTAACACTACCGATATCTCAGTGGCCATGGGATTCCAGTGCGGCCCCATCATTGAACCCTTTGAAGCGAAACAAAATAAAACAAACAAACAAGCAGCAAACAGAATAGTTAGTGTGAGTCTTCTGTCAGCATAAACAGTGGCATGTCAAGAAACACGAACCTTTGTCAAGTTTACATAGAAAACACCAATGTTCGAGCCTCTGAGCAAAGGAAAGGCTTTCCTGTCGACTGATAGGCTCCATCCATTACAATTCTTGAAATCTGCGTCTGCATCAAGAATGTTGTAGGCTCTATTTTTCTTCTTCTTGCTGTTGATGGCAGCATTGAAGGGGACACTTCGGCTGCCTAGAACGAGCTTGAGGAACCGAGATTCCAGATCATGGATGGTATCTTTCTCCTTTGGGATTCTATGAATTATCAATGGAGGCCGGGTTGCACTTTTTAAGGACTCAATAACCTCCGGTGGGACCTTGTAGTACAACAGTATAAAATGGAATGGCATTGGTAGATGGTACAAAACGAGATAAACTAGAAGTAGATGCAAGAAAACTAATTGCGAATTATACCTTAAAGGCCGATTGCAGGGTCTTCCCATCAAAGCCAAGAATCAGGTGTCTAATGCTCGAATATGCCCCAATGGCGGGCTCCTGCATTCGTGTAATTTCCATTCAAACATTAAAAAAACAAGCAAACTTCGTCTTTGTTCTCCACTATTATCTGCAATTCAACTTGAAAGAAAGCACAAGAGGACACGTAGGAAGACTTACGAATAAGTTGTCGTCCGTGTTGGAGAAAATTGCATAGATTCTGAGCTTCTCTCGTTCCATTTCTAAGCTGCTCTCCAGATAAAACACAGAACCAGGGCGCAACCTATACATATCTCCTCGTCTTATATTTATATTTCTCACTTTATTTTCACCTTCATCTTCCCCATGCGCCCAAATCAACCTCCCACTCCCTACATCAATACCCAGAAAAAAAAAAAAGATTGAAAAAGAAACGACAGATTAGCAATTAATCGAGGAGTAGCTAGTACTACTGCTGTGGCTACTAACCAGTGTGAACAAAGAAAACCATGTCTGCATGGAGGAGTACAGGGAGGAAGACGGAATTTGGTTCCAATGTGATGAACTGAAGATAATATCGTGCTCCCAATCTGGTTCCATCCCTGATTTGAACGGCGGAGATCTGTCCGAACTCAGTATCGAGAAGAGACGTTCTCTGATGCCTCTTCACGAGAGGCAACTCACAGGAGATATCATCGTTCACATCATTCAAAGCCTGAGTGCCGAGAAAGAAAGAGATGAAAACGGAGATGAAGAAAGCGTGAAACGGCAAACCGAGAGACTTATGTTTCATGGTGTTCTCCCTTGTGAAGCGAGAAGAGGAATGAGAGTGAAGATTAAGCGTAAAACTGAATATGTTATAGGTGGAGGAAGACGATGATGAGTTACGTGTCAGGAGAGCTGACACGTGCATGTGCATGGGGGAATACGTGGCAGATTGTTTTGAGGGGATATATATTTAAGAAAGAAAAATGATTTGGGAAGTTGATAAATAGAGTTGATGGGAGTAAAATAATGTGCTGGAATCACGTGAAGACCTCAGAGACCAGAGGGTTGGAATGTAGTCCAAAGTGCTGAGAAGAAGAGGTCAGGGATAAGAGAGATGGGTTTTCTTTGAATTGTGTGTTGATTTTGGACTTGGATTTCTTTTTTTCTTTATTCTTTTTATAATTTCGAGCTGATAATTTTTGAAACAATATTAGTATCGAACACAATCTTAATGTTTTGTGCCCAATTTGAATTTTTCCAAAATTGTATATGTGGCTAATGACATCGGTTACCACCTTTATATTATTATTATAAATGTTTGTCACGGATGTCATGTATTTTTTAATTTTTAATATATACTTTAATTTTTTATTTATAAACTAACAGTTAAATTATTTAAAAAAAAAATTAAATCCCCTCACGCTTTGGAAATCCCATCTCCTCTCTCAAGTTCTATTCCCATGGTTGACTTAATATGCCTCAGCCTCCGTTGCACGCCTGAATCTAGGCACTGTTAAGTGACTTTTTGTGGTCTATTTTTTCTTCCTCCCTCTTGATTGTTCTCTCTGTCAACTGTTTTCTTTTTTTTTTTTTTTTTTTTTTTTTTTTCTTTCTTGGATCTGGGTCTTGATTATTTCACCCTTTTTGGGAGAGATTTTGAAGATGAAGTCTCGAGTGGTATTGCGGGTGCTTTGGTTAGGAAAGAAGATTACACCTCCATCATTGTTGATAATGGTGATGAAGGAGAATGAGAATAATAGGAAAGATTTTTTATGCTCTTTCAAATAGATTTGATAGTGGATAAAAGTGTCGGTAAAAGTAGGACAAATAATATAGCAAATTGAGCAGAGACGTGCAGAACACTCTGTAGAAAACAAAGATTGATAATTTGAAAATTGCTTGCAAAATTTACCACAGCTGAAGGTGCATATTTATAGGCTTATAACCAAAAGTTGATGAAGATAAAAGAATTGAAAAAATCTTAACTAATCAGTTATGTTGGTACTAATTTGGAATTATAATCCCACAAAATCTCTCAAAATTTAGATAGGATAAAACCAAGAGTCTTTTGAATTAACCTTCGACACTATCTCTTGATTCAAAATTGTCTAAGACATTGAAGAGCTTTTATGACTATGTCATTTATTTGTTCATTTATATTGCAAAACTTTGAAACATTAACGTTTTTTGTCATAAATTCTCAAATAAAATAAAAATAAATATCAATATGCTTTATTATTATTTTTTTTTATGGTAAACTAAATTTTTGGTCATACAATTGATATTTTATTATCATAAAAAATTTATGGTGCCTTGTTTTTCTTTTGACCAAAGATCGACAATGAGTCTTCTCAACCATACAACTAAAGAAGTGGTAATAACATATTTCGTTTCTAAGAAGACAAAGCTATTGTAACTTGCATATTTTATCTCTAACTTTTGACCCAAAACTAAAAATACTTTCGCAAGTGCTTTTTTTGACACTCAAAAAATATATTCAATCACTGTGAGTAAAACTAAATAATTTAAATTCTAAAACATTGAGTATATTAGATTTCATAATCCTTTTTGGACTTTTTTTGTAACTCCAAAGTAGTATTTTATAGGATTATTTATGAACCTTAATACTACACAAGGAAAAAATGAAATATTTGGTAGCTCCTGAAATTTCTTGCAGTAAACTTTTTAGTACAATCTTTAAGCTGTAATTTTTCATTCACATTCATCAGTATAGTTGCAATCTTACAATGAAGCATGTTAAATTTTTTTAAGAATGTCAGTTGCATATATATATGGGGTAAAATAAACACTCCATTTGCTCATTATTTCTCCTTAATCCCCAAGAAAATAATGCAAAAAGTCTAAAACAAACATTTCAAATATTTCTATCATACTAAATTTCAGTTCAACTATAAGATAATGAAATGAGCCCATATAAATGCTATCATCAATATATATATATATATATATATATATATGCAGATCATAAAAACAATATCTTTACCTCACTTCTTTAAGTAAATTCTGGGCTCACTTTCACCTTTTTTTAATACATTTTCAAGAAAATATGAGTCAATTTTCATGTACTGTGCCTGTGGAGCCTGTTTTAATTCATAGAATAATTTTCTCAGCTTGTATATCTTTGCTTCCTGGCCGCCAACCACAAAACCTTGAGGAGGTGTAATATGAATTTCTAGTTCACCATTTAAAGAGGTTGACTTAATGTCAAATTTTATAATTGTACACTTAAAGGCAAAAAAATTCTCATGTTTTAAAACGAGCAATATGAGAAAATATTTCTTTGAGATCAGTACCTTCTTAATGTGATGCAACCAATTGAGTGTTATGCTTTTATATGCTCATATCATTATGAAATTTTATTCTAAATATCCACTTTCAACTAATTATATTTTTTCCTTTCCTTTTAGGCAAATCTATCAAGTCTCATATCTCATTTTTTTTAATCGTCTATTGAGTTCATTCATTGCACTTTTCTATTCTTTTTTTCTATTGCTTCTGTATAAGTTAATGGATATGAAACTAGTTAAACAAAGTTATCATATTCACATTTCTCATTCAAATATCTAAACTTTGTTGGAGATGTTTCATTTGAGAATGAGTTAGCATTACTTGGAGTTATAACAATAGGACTTGGTGAATTTACAAGGCTGCTATTGCTTGATATTGAAGGGGTGGAAGTTGGTGTTGATGTTTTTGTCAATTTCCTATCTCACTAGTACTACTTTGATCTTAACTTGCTTCTCTAGTGAACACATCATTTATGCTAATAATCACTTTGTTATTAAAAGAGTTATTTAGGCAATATATTTTGGAGTGAGGATAATAACCAATGAAAATGCATTTTTCATATTTTTCATCTAGTTTATTTTACTTTTGTGGATTAATCAAAACATACACAATATAGCAAAAAATTCTTAAATAGCTTACATATTGGCTTTAAACCTCTCCAAACTTTATATATTGTTTGATTTAAAATTACATTTGTAGGGGAGTAAAAAGAAGAAGAAACTCTTTTTTTTTTTTTTTTTCAAATTTGTGGTAGTCTTTATAAATCTTCAAATACATGAGTATATATAGGCACTAATACAACTCTTAATGTTACGGACCATATCTCATCTTATAAGGTAATGACCTATGCATACTTACTTAAATCACATAAACTCAAGTTAAGTAAAATAAACTAACTTTATTAATCATAACAGAGTCGCATAAGCGTTACATCCTTTAAATGTAAAACACAAACATATGTACAAGACTCTAAATTTTCTTACTTACATTACTAAACAAAAGTATGAAATAATAACCTTAATATCATAATCTACTTTTAAAACTTTTCTTTGTATTACTGATCACTCTACATCGATACCTTCAGTATTTAGAGGGTGATACAAGAGTAAGATCAAATATCCCAATAAGCGATAAAATCATAGTATAGTACATGCAATATATAGTTTCTTTACACACAACAAAACATATATCATATAATCTTTTTAAAATAGATATGAATCAAAAGACGAATACGCAAATCAGAAAATAGATTCACAATTACTTCGTTGTATACTTCATCCTTATTATGGAGGATTAATCAATTACCGTATGTTATGTGTAGGCACAGATACTTATCATTGATTACTCATGTATCTGACACAGAAAGATATACATGAGTAACCAAAGAAAGATATACATGAGTACTTTGAAACACTGCTACCCTTCGAATATGGAAGGATTAGGGCACGCA